TGTTTTTTAAGTCACCAAGCCTCTCTTCTGTGGGCCCTACCCCAGCAAGAGGCTCCAGATAAGGTGACTGGGACCACCATCTTTGGATCCTCTGTCAACTTCCAGGGTTCCTTGCCCCGGTAGCTTTCAGCAGGTCCCTGCCAGGAGCAGGCAGAAATGCTTGTTCTATATTTTATTTAGCCACTAATTGCCTGCGTTTAAAAGGCATCGCAGTGCCACAGTCGTCCACTGCTTCATGCCCTGATGCGTGCTTCTGCATGAAGGGACAGTTGGGCGGGAGAGTGGGGAGGGCGAGGGGCCACAGTCTCCCCAATGACAGCTTTAAAAGCCTGACCCCAGCGCTGAGTGCTGGAGGATGTCAGGTTGTCACCCTGAGAAACGAGACAGGGCATGCAGGGGCTGGGGCCTCTGCAGAAAGAAGGAGAGAGGTCAGGGCCCTGGCAAGGGCCAGGAAGGCATTGGAGGGGGCACTCTATGTCCCCACTCACCCCTAGGATGAAGGCGCAGCTGATGGAGCCTACCCAGAATGCTTTGGTTCAGCTCCACTCCTGCCTAGAAAACTCTGCAAAAACCAGCTGCCTGGAAAGGGACTTAGTACTGTCCCCAACAGGCACATCTCCTGAGATCAGCAAGAAGACAGATTTTGAACCTTGACTTTGTTCAAGAGCAAGAGATGGCAGTTGAGGAAGACAGGGAAGAGGTGGGAAGGTAGAAGGAAGTGCTGAAGCAGGTGGTGGGTGACCCCTAACTCTGGAGATGGCCCCAGCAGTCTTATTTTGGGTTTTCCACCTGTTTAGAAAGTGCTCACCCAGGTAAGGGAAGAGAAAACTTGTTTCCCACCATTTCCATTCTGAGCCATATGAAAGCTTTCTCTGACTCCAACCCTTACACCAGCAGCAAGCCTACAATTCAACCACAACCCTATTGAACCTCTCCTCAACTCCAACTCTAAATCCAACCTTCATCTCACTAGGATTTCAACCCTAATCCCATATGTAATACAAAAATCAAGCTGATATCTACCCCACAGTCTAATGCAAACATCAGTAATAATCCTAACCCCATTTTCAACCCCCCCACAAACCTCTCCACAATAGGGATTAAACCCAGGGCCTCACACATGCTAAGCGGGTGCTCTACCATTGAACTACACCCCAAACCCCAGCCTCCAATATATTTCTAATCTTGGTTTGTTGTTGTTGTTTTTGTACTGGGGATTAAACCCAGTGCCTTCAGCATGCTAGGCAAGAACTCTACCCCGAAAGCACTCCCAGCACATGCTTCTAATCTGAACCAATCCCTAACCATATCCCTGACCCCAACCCCAGTCCTTTAATATCCATCTCAGATGGAAAACCATCCCAATTTCCTTTCCATTCCTCATTTTTTGGGGGGAGCCCGGTGGGGATTGAACCCAGGGTGCTTAACCACTTAGCCACATCCCCAGCTTTTTTTATATTTTATTTTGAGATGGGGGTCTCATTGAGTTGCTTAGCGCCTCACTTTTGCTAAGGCTGGCTTTGAACTCGTGATCCTCCTGCCTCAGTCTCCCAAGCCACTGGGATTACAGACCTGCGCCACCGTGACCAGCTTCCCAGTCACGGACTTGACCCAATCCTTTCTCCAATCTCTATTTGACCCCCTAACTGTGACTGATGCCAGTCCCTCACCCTGGCACTATGCCCAGGACCTGGCTTGGTCCCAAGGCACCTGGACTGGCTGAAAGTAGATTTGAGGTCTTCCATCTTGAGCCAAGCTATAAAGCCATGGGGCCTTCAGGGTGGGGCCTCCCATTGCTGGAAGTGCTCAGGGCCCCCATTTTGAGTGGATAGGTCTGAAGCCTTCCTGCTCTGTTCAGCTCCCAACCAGCAGGACTTGGGTAGGGGTGTGACAGGCTTCCTGCTGCCAAGACAGAGCTGAGCAGCCCTGCTTCTCCTGAGGAATGGCAAAAAATTAGCACTTGGCTGAGCCGGCCCACCCCTGCGCTCCTCACACCTCGGTGGGTAATTTCTACATGGCCAAAGGCTGAGCTTAATGGGCCGCTGCTTCCAGCCCGGTGGACAATCTGGGAAAGCAGCCCCCAGGGTCTCCCACAGACGAGGGGCTCTGCCTCTCCTAAAAGGATGGCATTTGCATCCATCAGGAGAGGAGGGCAGGCTGAAAGCTCGGAATCCTACAGTTGGGAGAGAAGGAGGGAGCCAGAGTGCTCTGCGGAGCCCCAAGAAGCAGGACAACATCCTCTGGAGATGGGCAAAGAAGCCATTCCTGTTTGTGCTGGGCGTGCCAAGGAGCCATCTCTGAGCTCGGCAAATGCCGAGTGATTAAGCCGCCAGCGAGTGAAGCTTCCAGACAGCCCTCCAAGAACAGCTCTGTTCCCGGGCCCACCACCGTCCACCCTCGAGCCACCCGGTGATGCCACCACATGGGCTGCCCCCCATTGTGCTGTCATAACCCACCCCTCTTCCTGGGGTCAGTCTGTCTGTCTGCTCAGATGGGGAGCTAGCTGGCTGGCTGGGCTGGCCGCCAGCTCTGCATTTCCTGCCTGGCCCCGCACACCGCACTGTGGTTGCTCACCCAAAGCTAACTGAATGGGCTGAACTTTCTCCAGCTTCATCCTCAGCAACTCCCACTTCCTGGGAGGGTGGAATTGTGACTATCACTCTGTCTTGCAGGAAAGGCAAGATGGCCTAGTGGTTAACAATTCGAGAAGCAAACAGATACTCCTGAGTGCTAAACATACTTCCAGCCCCATCATTTCTAGCTCTGTGGCCTTGGGCAAGGTTTCCTCACTTCTCTGAATGAAGATAGTGGTTCCTGTCTCACAGAGTTGGTTTTAGAGTCTGTACTGGGTATGGTGGTGCATACCTACAATCCCAGCAACTGGGGAGGCAGAGGCAGGATTGCAAATTCAAGGCCAGCTTAAATAACAGCTCAGTGGTAGAGCACTTCTGGGTTCAATCCTAGTAACTAAAAGAAAAAGAATTCCATAAGGGAACTGGGGACTCGGCTTAGTGATAGAGCTCTTGCCTAGCATGTGCAAGATCCCGGGTTTAATTACCAGCACCAAAAAAAAAAAAAAAAAGAAGTAGTATTCAGTAAGTGTGTGTATGCACGTGCATATGTGTGTAAAGTGCTGGTGCACTGGCTGACACACAGTGGGTCCGCAGTAAGCACTGTCTATGATAATGGTGGGGCTGCAGATACTGGTAGCCTGATTGAGAAAAGTCCTCAGGAGAAGAGATCAACTGGGGCTCTTCTCTGAAGGGGCAGCCCCAAACCTGATGTATTCACAGTCCTGCCTGAGCACCCATTGACTTTCCCTTTATTCCACCCGTCTCCCTCCCCTAGGCCAAGGAATCGAATCACTCATTCATTCATTCGTTCATTCATACCTTCGTCTAACAGCTGCTTATAGATGGCTCACTCCAGGCCAGAGCCTGTACTGTGGGCTGGGAGGTCAGTCAACAGGCTGAGGTTTCTGACTCCCCTGAGACTAGACGGGGGACTGGTGCTCTGTCTGTGCTAGCAGGGGGAGGACCCCTGGTCTAAGGGCTGGATTCCTAGAGGAGGGCTTTCTACCCTAACTTCTGGAGGACGGGGGGCAGTTGGCTGGACAGAGGGGAGAGAGAGAGTCCAGGTAGAGGCACGAGTCTCGGCAAAGTGCAGGGTGGGAGGCCACATGGATTTCGGGCTTTGAGAGTGTCCTGAGTCTCCGTGGAACAGCAGGTGATGACACAGGACACTGGCTGGACATGGGACTCTCCTCATGGGGTGCTTTCTTCAGGGATGGGCCCTGGCTGATTCTTTTCTTTGTCCACACACAGCCTCACTTCTCAACAAAGGCCTGTCCTGGGGGAGAGGGAGAGGGAGGTGGAGGGAGAGTGAGACCAGGAGGGGAGTTTCCACCCAGGGTAGCATGGGATGGAGGCTCAGAGGAGAGGGTGACCACAAAGCAGCCCCCCCCCCCAGCCTTTGCTTGACTTCCCCACTCAGTCTGCATCACATACCCGAACTACTTCCTGTCACAAACGAGGAGACCAAGGCACCCAGATTTTCAGTAACATGCCCCAAGGGTCACACCTACAGCATGGGACCCTGGGGTCAGTCCCCAGAACCTGTGGCTCTTAACATTAGGCCACCCTGGATAGGGGGCAGTACTGAAGGAGATGACCTGGGGGCAGGAAGCAGTGGAGGGAATGAGCTTTCTTGGGGTGACCTCTGGCCTTGCGACCAGCCAGTCACCCGACGCAGACCTGGGGAGCAAGTGCCTGCCAGAGCCCAGAGGGACAAAGCCCCCATTCAGTGCTCAAGGATCTTTGCTCCCAGCTGCTCAGCTCCTTGCAAAGCATTTTCCCTTAATAGCCTCCCATTCAGTGGCGGCTGCAGCCCACATCTGCAGAAACCAGGCCACGCAACTCCTCCCACCAGGCCAGCAAGGCTGCCACAGCCACCATGGTCACCATACCCCAAGCTGCTCCTTCTCTCTCATGTCAGAAAACTCCCGGTCCCCTACCACTCCACCTGCTATTTTTGGGACTGCCCATAGTGGAGGGACAGAGCTGAGACCCTTTCCCTCAGGTCAGCCTGTCCTTAACTTTTCTCTGCAAAAAATGTATCTTAAAGGTATTGGTAGAGGATAGGAGGAAGAGAGGGACTCCTAGGTTCTCCTCTGCTTTCAATTTGCTGTGTGACCTAGGGAAAAACACGTCACCTCTCTGGGCCTCCTGATAACTCAGATGCAGACTGCCCACATTTGAATCCTAGATCCACCACTAATAAGCTGTGTGAACTTTGACATCTCTCTCTGAACCTCAGTTTTGTCTTCTGTATAAATGAGTTGACCTACTTCAACAGCTGTTGAGAGGATTAACCAGATGACCCATGTGAAGCATTTAGTTGGTGCCTGGCTCACGGTAAATAATAAGTGCTAGTTGTCGTTGTTATTATTATTATAGGTATTTTTCAAATATTTTAACTATGGGTTTTTTTTTTCTTTTCAGATACAATTTTTCCAGCAGAGCCCTAATATTATATGGAGAAGGTGAAATGGTGTGGGGTGGGCTTACCCACCTGTTCTTCCTGCAATTCCTATACTGTTTTCTCTGGTTTTGACCAGTAAGTTCCAGAGGTTGCCCCAAGACACTGCAGGCCACACTCTCCAGATTCTCATTCAGGAAGTCTAGGGTAAACCCAGACAGCAGATCTTGTAGAATCATCCCAGGTAATCCCAAAATCTCCCAGGTTGGAGCGCCATAAGGTCTTTTCTGGATCTTGCTAAGGACTTTGGGTACACGGATTTCCTTTCCCGTGGCCCCCCCCTCTTAGGCTGAGAACCCACCCCTCACAGACCTAGCAGGTTCCAATTGTTCCCATTCTCTGGCTCAGCAACCAGCCTCCTCTGCCTGGCCTCCATCCGGGCGCCCTTCTGTGAGTTCTTTCTTTTGGAGCCTGATCAAAAGGGGGCACGAGGAGGAAAGCGCTCCTTCCCTCTCCTCCAGCCCAGCCCTCCTCCACCACCATGCTCCTGCCCCTCCTTTCCAAGCCAACGTGTTTTTTCTTTTCTTTTTCTTTTTTTCCTTCCTTCCTTCCTTTCTCTTCCTCTCCCTCCCCTATCCCCCCATCCCTCCCTCCCTCTCTTTCAGTGCTGGGGATGGAACTCAGGGCTTCACACATGGCCTCTTGCATGCTAGGCCAGTGCTCTACCACTGACCCACACCCCACCCCCACTTTTATAATAATGTCTAAATGTCACCATGTGCCGGACACTACACTAGGCACCTTCCATTTATCAACTTGCTAAATCCTCATACAGCCCTCACATCCCCCTTGACAGATGAGAAAACAAAAGCAGAGAGGTTAGGTGACATGATTAAGGTCACACAGCTATGAATAGTCAAGATGAAGTTCTACCCTAGGCCAGCCTGACCCCATAACTCAGGCTCTTATCCCTTCTGCTGATGTCCTTCCCTTAGCACTTCCCACCTACTCCCTGCCTCCCACATCCTCAGGGACCAGCTAAAATGTTTCTCAGGGGACAGGGCTTTGGGCCACACCCCAACAGCTGACCAGATGCATCACAGGAGGGGCTGGTCTAATTGGTGTCTGAGGTGCTGGGGTTCTGAGTCCTGCTAGAGGGGCAGAGCACTCCCATGGTGAGTCCAGCCACCCAGCCATTCCTCCTAAGTGAACCCCACTGGACCATCCATCTGCTGTGTGGCAGTCATCATTCATCCATCCATCGGATGCCAGCTCAGCCTGTGCTTACTGGCCCTGGTCATCTGTCAGTCTTCCTTCTGACATCACAAGCCACCAGATGGACTTTACTTGACTCTTAGTTCACCAAGGGGTCAGTCCCTCTCTACAGGCCAAAGGCCTCGACTTATGAGTCTCCAGGGTGGAGATTGCCGACTCAGGGTCGGTGAGAACAAACCTAGCCACTGTCCCTGCAGACCTTATAATCGGATACCCACAGAGCCAACATTCACACAGTAGTCTCCCAGGTCAGCCTGTTGAACCAGGTCTCTCTTCCTGCTCCCACCACCACCTCATCTCCCCTGGGCCCAGCTGCCCCCACTGCCAGGGGACCTTTCCCTTTGTGACCTGTCCTGGTAATTTGGAAGGTGATTAACAGCAATCACGCTTGAGTTTGACATCCAGGCACGGCCGCTAAATTGAGGCTCACAAAGCCTCCTTGACATCCAATATGTTATATGCTTTTCCCCTTAATTAGGAGCTAAAGTGGATAAATATGAAGTTGCCATGGCAACAGCCTCCCGGGTTGGTGGAGGGATGCAGCTCAGTTTCTGTCGGCTGGCTGGCTGACATGTTGGCTGATGGACCAAACCGGCTCCTGGGAAGGAGCAGGAAGAGGCCCTCTCCCACTTTCTTAGCCCCTCCCCCTCAAGTCCCAGTTCTGATTATTCTCTTCTTCACTGCTCCTTAGACTTCATAGAGCCTCAGGATGCCCCACCTGGACCACAGAGCTCGGTTGGTCGAACCACCTCATGGAACAGTTCAGGAAACTGAAGAGGAAGGAGCCAGAAGGAGATGATATCTGACACCCAGATCTCCTGACTTCTGGATCAGAATCTGTAGTGGTTCTTAAATGTTGTGGGGTACCAGATCCCTTGGAGAATCTTTTGAAAATTATGGATCTGGTAACATAAGTCTGAGGTCAGCTGTGCAGTGGGGCTCAGACCCAGGACTGGGCTGAATCTGCTTTTTAAATTTAATTAACTGGGCTGTGGACGTGGCTTAGTGGTAGAGCACTTGCCTGGCATGTGTGAGGCACAGGGTTCGATTCTCAGCACCACATATAAATAAATAAAGATCCTTTGACAACTAAAAAATATTTTTTTAAAAATTTAATTAACAGTTGAGTTCTTACTATGCATTTTCCTCATGTCATCTCATTTAATCCTTCTATGGGGCAGGTAATATGATTATTTCTACTTTCCAGATGAGAAAACAGAATTTCAGAGGTTTGACTGCTTCCTCAGTTCACACAGCCATGGATGAGGAGCCAGGATTTGGACCCAGCTCTGTCCGCAGGCTGTGGGGTCCAACCTCTGCAGTGCCTTTCTCCAATCTACAAGTAATGGCTGCGGTAGCTGAGGGGCTTCAGCCAGGAAGTTCTTCTCCTGCCTAGGAAGATGAGGGGGACCCTGAAAAGCTCCCCCTCTCTGCCCCCCAGTTCTGCTGTTGGGGTGGGTGGAAAAAAGTCTGTTGGTTATGCCTCATTCAAGCCTCCCATTGAAGAAGAACCAGCCCCAAACACCTTCTAATAGAGATCAAGTCATTTAAACCTTGAAGGAGAAAGCAGGGGCTCCATTCAAAGAGCTGAACCCACAAAAGAAAGCACCTCAGAGCTACCAAAGTCCTATTTTCAGGAGACCAAACTGGGTCTTTACCTTTTCACCTTCCCTTTTTTGCCAAAGAGAGTTCCTGCAGAGCCTTGTGCTTGGCCAGGGAAATGAGGCACACTCTGTCCCCAGCCCGCAACCAGAGTATGTCCCCTCAACTCAGAAATCCATCCGGCCCTGCGCCTGTGCTGGCAGGTGGGAGGGGAGCACTGTGCCTCCTCCCTGAGGAGCTGGGACTCGGGGCTCCTCCAGCACCCCCGCACCACGAGGCGTGGGTGCTGGCAACGAGAGCTGGGGCTGGTGGCTTGGCCCCCGAACTTCCTTTCCTTCCAGTTCCAACTAAAAATAGAGACGGCAAGGACGCAGCTCGTTTTGTCAGACAGTGTGAAGGGGGGGGACGCCTGTGCAGACATAGGCCCCCCCTTTCTGAGCATGTGATACCCAGCCCCCAGTTTTCCCCATATGCCCCCCACCTCTCAAGGCCTTCCTCTGCTGTGACAGCTGTTGCTGTGGAGCCAGGGTCTCTGTGTACCTTCTGATTGGTCTTTGGCTTTGGGGAGGGATGGAGGTCAGAGTAGCAGAACAGTGGAAGGGCTGACCTCAGGGAGTTTCCTCTCCCTCTCCCTCAGGCCACATGGGGTGGGTGGGACAGGACTGGGCGCTTTACCCCTTTAGGACTGGAATAAGACCCAGCAGTTCAGGCTGCAGAGTGGAGCCCCGGGGTGGTACTTGGGGGTGTGAGCACACGAGGTCCTGGGGGCATGGACAGCTGGGGAAGCTAGTGCTGGGCTTATGGACAGACATAAAAAAGTTAACTCTACCAAGGTCCTTGTCCCCAAAGGGCCAATTTCTTCCCCAGGATAGAGACCAAACTAGAGATCTCTTCTGATTCATCCCATGCAATCCAGCCTAGGCACTCAAAAGACTGCACATCTATACTTCTAGGTTGCAAATAGGGTGGTGAGGAATAGGAGAAGGGAAGCAGTTTACCATGGTGTCTCCTGTGCCTGGAACAGTGCCTGGTGCATCCTAGATGCTTGGAAACATCTGTTGAGTGACTGAATGAAAGGATGAATAAATGAATGAATAGGATGCAGTCATGACCCAAGATAAAAAGGGAATCATTAAAGCCATCGTTATAGTACTTTTGCAGCAGGGCTGGGCTGAAAAATTAGAGCCAAGGGCAAACTAATAATTTGATGCCTCTTCAAAATAACATTCTTTCAATATGTGTTCAATATTTATTTGAAGGAGAGGCTATGCAGGGCCTGGGCAGGAAGGAGGGGCCAGAGGTAGTGCTCAGGGAGCTGGCTGCAGCCCTCAGCTTCTCCTCCAACAGCCAGAAAAATTCTATTCTTGCCCTAAAGTCACTAGCCCCAGTGAGCTTCACAGAAACTCTTGGGTGCTCTAGGACCCTCATCTTGACAGGGAAAGAGTTCAATGAACAATTGTTGTAGCCTAAGCACCCTGTGAGGATCTTACCTCTGCACCCAGAAGCTTCAAAAAGGCTCCCATTCACCCCCACTAGCCCCCTTTTTGTGCAGTAAATATTCTTCTCCAACTTATAGGGCCCTTTAGAGATGGGGTCTCTTCTTCAGGTGGAGGAGAAGGGCTTGGTGGTGGGTCTACTCAGTGTTCTTCTCAAGGCCTGACAACTTCTCTCCCCCATGTTCAGGAGGAAAGTTCAGGATGGGGAGGTGGAGGGTAGAGGGGTCACATCCCATGGTTTGCAGCTCTAAGCAGGTGAGAGGAGAGTGCAGGCTGCCAGAAAAGACTCCTGCTCCCTCCCAGTGAGCTCCCTGACCAGACCTGTAGTTCTAGGGCCCCCAGTCTGCAGGGAAACTCCGGGAGCCCCTCAGTGAGTGAGTTCAAGCGGCCTGAGGTGGATGGCATTGGAGCCGCTGAAGTAATGCTGTCTGACTTCCATTCCCTTGGGGATGCCTGGGAAAACCGGGTATCTAGCCAATGAAGTGATCACCGGAGCAAAATCTTTAAGTAAATACAGTCACTCACTTCCGTTTCCTCTACTCTACTCGCCTCACTCTCTTTGTGCTTTCTGCATCCAGTCCCACAGTCCCACCTCAGTCCATTGGTCCTTGTACCCACAGTGTCCCTATAGCTTCTTTCCTATCCCCCATCCTTACAACCAGCTTCTCCATCCCTTCTTCAGCCCCCTGCTACCTGCTCATCATAAAATGAAGCCTCTGAGTACTTGTGCAGATGAATAAATAATAGCAACATTATTTCTTGAGCACTCGCTGGGTGCCAGGCACTAGGCTAAATACTTCTTTATGTACATTATCTCATTTCCCCTTCACAGTGACCCCCAAGGCAAGGCTTGAGATCAGAATCCCAGCTTTCTCACTTACCAGTAGTGGGATCATAGGGAAACCACTTCACTTCTCTGGGACCCTGTTTCCTTGCCTGTAAAATGGGGAGATCAACAGTACCTACTTTATCGAGTTATATGAGGATGGAAAGAAACAGTGCCTAGCACCGCCTGGCTCATGGGCTGTTTCATGCACTGTCATTACTATTATTGTCCCCCATTCCAGATAAGGGAACAAGGGGAAGCCATTCACCAGGGTCATATATGGCTACAACACAGCAGCATCCAGATTCTAACTAGGGCCTCCCCCTCAGTCTTGACCAAGAGTCTGCAGGCTGGACCCTGGTCAGATATCTCCCCTTCCCCCAGGGTTACAGGTTCCTCCTTTTCCTTGCCCATGGAAAGGAAAATGGAACTAAATGAACTCCAGCAAGCCTTCTGGCTTCCTAGTGACAACCAACATCCCACAATGCTCTAGGAAATGTGTGCACACGCCCACCTGCCAGGCCTGGAGGAATCCAGGCTTTAGACTTGAAAGGTAATTCAATCCCGTGGTGCTTCCTCCCATACCCCCCCCCCCCCCGCAGCTCTGGGTGTTCCAGGGGGTGATGCAGACCCAGTTACAGAGGAATTAGCAGCTGTGCTCAGCCTTGCTCAGAGATAGCCCCCTTGGCATTGGCACAGATTCTGATTGGGGTGCAGTTACTGGAGACACCGGACACCCCTAAGTCCAACACTCATCTACCCTTACCTCATGCACCCCTGCCTTTCAGAACTCCTTTGTCCTCGCCAACTCTCTACCTTTCCTCAGCTCCCCAAGGCCAGGCTCCCCTGGCCCTCTCCCACTCTGAGGAAGCTCCCTTTCTAATTCATCACTTCTCCTTCCTTCCAGGCCCCAGGCCCAGGGCCCATCTCCTTGGAGTGTTCATTCAATGACTGCCCCTGCATTTCCCCCTTCATCTGTGGACGCTACCCTACACACCTGTTTCTGTCTGCCCATTAGCCAAGCTCACTCCTGAGTCTGGTGCCCAGCACTTGGGGCTGGGGTAGAAGGAAACCTGGAGCACGTCAGAGCTCCTGTCTAATTAGTAATGAGTAATAAGTTAACATATAATTAGAAGGTGAGGGCAGTGGGCTGGGTTTCTTGGCCTGTGTAGCATGGCCATGCACACACCCATTTTCCCCACCAGATTTCCCTCTTGATTCCACACCCTCCCGGGTTCGCGCTGGGTCAGTCAATTCTCTGACCTATAGTCCTTCATTCATTCAACCCTCAGGCTCAATCCTGCCTGGACTCATCCCCAACCTTCCCTACTAAGCAGAAAAATCTTATTCCCTATAGTTCTGGGAATTCCAAAGTCTCCTGATATCATAATTTCATGAGGGTCCAGGCCAGTCACCCACCCCCACCCAGGCCTTGAGTTCAATACTTGGAAGAAGAAATTCCCCCAAAAGAAATCCACAGCAGGTCAAGCCCCAGACCTCTCCTGCCTACCCCATTTATATTCAGTTCATTGACATTCTCCCCACTTGCTCACCTGGGACCCACCCCCCTGCCAGCCTGTCCTGTTTTCTTCCCCCGTAACTCTAAGGAGAGCCCCTTGAGTGATGTCCTGGCCCACCACACCCCCCTTGTCCACAGGAGGGAGCATGTTGCCCTCCAGTGGCTATGTCAGGCAGTGGCCTAGGGAGGAAATGGTATCCAGGCTTCTTGGAGTATCTGGGCTCCTGCCCCCCACTGGCATGCGTTTGTAGACTCACCTTTTTCAGGGCGGGGGTTGGGGGGGCTGCCTACATTTCCCAGAAGCCTAGTTTACTCTTTCCTGTTACTCTGGCCCTGTGGGCCTGCCCAGTCAGGTTCACCCTTCCCCTCCCGCTAAAGGATCAATTAATTACTAAAATGGCAATAGGTATGACCAATAGGCAAGGGTTTTATAGGCATTGACTCACTGGATCCACATAGCGATCCCAAGCAGCAGGGGCAGTTTCCAATTTTGTTTTACAAATGAGGAAACGAGGTCTCAAAGAAATCAGGTAGTTCACTGGTTCACCCAACCAGGAGAGACCAAGGTAGATGTCTGACTCTAGAGGCCAGCTCCTCACCAGGAGATATTTAGCCCTAATGGTTATTGATATAGGACTAAAAGCAAGG